TCTCTCTCTCTCTCTCTCATATTGCCAATTTGCCACCATATTTTTCTCTTGGGGTCAATTGGATTGTAAGAATGGAATCGAGTGGAAAGAAAATGAATTTCAAGAAATTGAATTGTCTAGAACTTGTTTTATTGAAAATTGTCAATTAATTGTGTTTGATTGGTATAATTTTTCACCTGAAAAATATTGAAATTTTGAATTTTTTGGTGTTCATTTGATTTTGTTTTCCATGGAAATTGTCTATTAAAAGAATAGAATTTGTTTTCATTACCAAAAAAATAAAAATAAAAAATTTGCCTAGAAAAGTTTTTCTCACCAAACTCATGGGAGAATTTTTTCCTGAAAAATCAAGAAAATGTGGAAAATGAATTCCATGGAAAATTTAGTCGATCAAACATACAAAAATGTAGAAATGAATTTTAATTTCAATCTTCCATAGAAAATAAAGTCAAATCAAACAAAGCCTTAAGGTCCCTATGATTGGTAAAGGTGGAAAGGCTTTTCAGATCTATGTAAGTTGGAGAATAAAAACTAAAGTATTCCATAGGAATGCATTTTTCATGAAATTGGCAAAAAAACAAGCTTAAAGTGGTTATATTTTGAAATTCGAATTTCATTTTCACTTTTGTATCAAGCAGTCAAAATAGAAATTGAATTCTTCGAATGTAATATTTTTCATGGAATTTAAACTAATCAAACGGACCATTAAGGCACAACTTTTTAGTTGCGCTAAAAGTCTTTAATTTTGCTTATTATTATTTGTGTCATTTTCTCTCTCTCTTTTTTTTTTTCAAATTTAATTAGTACATCTAGTCCCTTGCACTTCTGTATTTATTTATTTTTTTATTTAAAAAATATGAGTATACCCTCCTAACAGACTTTGGAAAGAAATCACCACCGTGAACAAATTGTGCTAATTCATGTAAGGTTGAAGATAACAATAGGATGAAAAACTAGTCGAGACACGTGCGACAATGAGCAGAGGTTGGAAAAACTTTTAGAGTGTGTTTGATTGGATTTATTTTTCATTCAAATTCTTATTTTTGAGGTATTTGATTGACAAATTTTTCCATGGAAAATATTTTTCGATTTGTGGTCATGTGACCATATTTTTTCTCCAAAACAAGGAAAATATTTTTTTTAGTGAGGGGTGATTTTTATTTTTCAGATAATTCACTCTTTTGATCTCTTTCATCTATCATCTCTCTCATCTATCTACAAATAAAAAATAAATAAGTATAATATTTTCTAGGTTGAAAACTAAATCAATAAAACACATTCAATTGAAAATAATTGAATTATCTAAAATTTATTTATTTTAATACAAATTTCATGCTCGCAATCAAATGTATATTTAGTACAATTAAAAAGTAGTGTAACAAAACTATGACGAAGCTATGGATTTCCCGAACTTGAGGTAAGATTATAGCATTTCGAAATATTTTTCAACTAGTGAGTTTGAATGCAATGACGAGCC